ACTATACAGAAAACTGAGCACCAAAGAATTGATGCCTTGAATTGTGTTGGAGAAGGCTCTTGAGAGTCCCTTGGACTACAAGGAGATCCAACCAGTCCATCATAAAGGAAATCAGTCCTGAATATTCATTGGAAGAACTGATGTGAAGCTGAAACTCCAATACTTTGGCCACCTGATGCGAGGAACTGACTCATCTGAAAAGACCCTGATGCTGGGAAATATTGAAGGCGGGAGGAGAAGGGGATGACAGAGGATGAGATGGTTAGATTGCATCACTCACTCAATGGACATGAGTTTGGGTAAACTCCAGGAATTGGTGATGGATAGGGAGGCCTGGAATGCTGCAGTCCATGGGGTCCCAAAGAGTCAGACAAGACTGAGTGACTGAACTGAGCTGAACTGTAGTGCGTGCATGCTTAGTTGTATCTGACTCTGCAACCACAGGGACTGTAGCCGCCAGCTCTCCTCCATGGAATTTTCCAGGCAAGAATACTGGGATGGTTGCCATTTCCTACCCCAGGTGATCCTCCTGACCCAGGGATTGAACACACATCTCCTGTGTTTCTTGCATTGGCAGGCAGATCCTTTTACCACTGAGCCACCTGGGATAATAGCAAATCATAATAAAAGCAAATGTACATAGCACTTATGTGCCAGAAACTGTTCTAATGGTTTTTGCTTCATAACTTACTTGCTTCATGGCTTGTTTAGTCTCTACAATAAGACTGTGAGATGGGTGCCATATTGTCCCCAATATATAGACAAGGAACTTGAAGCCCAGAATGGTTAAATAAATTTGTTCAAGGTCTCACAGAAGGTAAAAAGCAGAAGTAGGATTTGAACTTGGGCAGCCTGGTACCAGGGTCTGTGCTTTTACCACACACACACATACTCTTCCACAGCTTTGTATTACTCAGTGCACACATTTCTTGCTCTCCTTTGGCAGTGTGACCCTTTAGCTGTGGTCTCCTGCTTGGTTCTCTGGGCCTCTGGGAATCATGCTATGTCTGTGTCCAGCATTTCTGTCTGGAGACTGTTCTTACCTTAATGATGGAGCTCTGTACTAAGTCCTGCCCGATTCTTTGCGACCCTATGGACTGTAGCCTGCCACGCTCCTCTGATCACGGGATTTTTCAGGCAAGAATACTGGAGTGGGTTGCCATTTCCTCCTCCAGGGGATCTTCCTGATCAAACCCGGGTCTCCTGCTTGGCAGGCAAATTCTTTACCTATTGAACCACCAGAGAGGCCTGTAGCACTAGGGGCCCTGGCTTCCCCGCCCTCCCCCCCATCCCCACCATGTGGAGCTCAGTGCAGCACCATGCAAGGAATTTGCATGTTTGCTCCTCCACTCAGGAGTGGTATTGCTTATTTCTTCACTTGCTTATTTGATAAATGCACATTGGCTGCACACCCTGTGCAGGCACTGACCTTAGGTCTGAGAGGTACGGAAGCAACACAAAATCTACCTGGAAACTCCTCTCTCCTCCACCCTCCACCCTATTCCATCCTTACCTAGGGGGTGGAGACAACTTGAAGATCTAGGATGGCCTTGAAGGGAAAAGTCACGGCACAAGGGCAGCCCAAGAGGGGTGTGGGAAGGGGGAGCAGTCCAGCCTTTGGCTGCAGTGAGAGCCGGGTGTGCTGGGGCATCCCAGTCCGCAGGAGACTCCAGATAATGGTTCCTTAATAACGGTCTCCCAAATAAAATGAACTCATTCTAAGTGGTTCCAATGACAAGACCTCAATGAAGGATGGGTTTCCAGAGGTGAAGGCAGAGTTGAGGGAAGAAACCCAGAGTGGTGTGGCTCCCGGGGCCTGGTGGCACTCTCCCTCAGGCTGAGAGGGGAGGGTGCCCCCAAGGGGACTATGTAAAAAGGACCACAGAGCCAGAGCTACCGTCACAGATGGTTAGCGCTAGAGATGTGGCCCTGAGGCAGGCAGGGCTGGGGAAGAAACGTCCCACCTTTCTCTCTTCCCTCCCTCTGAACTCTGCCAGGGCCTGCTGTTGCCACCCCCTACTGGAATCTGCAAGGGAGTCGGGATGACACAGTCTCCGGGGGTTAGTCAGCCTTCTGGGGCACAGAAGAGTGGAGAACAAAGCTGTAACATAAGCAGAGCACAGCCCTTCCCTCCTGCCCAACCCCAGCGGCATGGGGCCTCGGCCTCTCCTCTGTAGGACGAGACACCCACGGGAGCAGTCAAAGCCTGGGGCTCAGCCTGGTGTGGAGCAATCAATCTCTCTGCCTTCCCCTTGTAATGGGGAAGGGTTAATTTTGAATTCCTACTGGATCTGCTTCTGTGTAAGAGACCAAACCAGTCAAACATAAAGGAAATCAACCCTGGGTATTCACTGGAAGGATTGATGCTGAAGCTGAGGCCCCAGTACTTTGGCCACCTGATGCGAAGAGCTGACT